TTTATTTACTTTGTTTAGCTATAAGTGTGAACTTAGTCATCAAGTGGCATGCCATTTAAATTAATGGAGCTTTTAATTTTAATGCACTGTAAAAAAAAAATATTGATGGTTTAACTTAAAAAAGTAAGTAACCTGGTTGCCTTAAAATTTTAAGTTCATTGAACTGGAAAAAGTGAGTTAATACAATGAAGGAGATTAATTTAACCATCAGAAACTCAAAATTATATGTTATCTGAACTAAATAAATTATTTAAGTTGATTTGACAAAAGAAAAAATGTTGTGATTACTACACTGTAAAAAGTTTTTGTTGGTTTAACTTAAAAAAGTAAGTAACCTGGGTTGCCTTAAAATTGAGTTAATCACTGGAAAAAGTGAGTTAATCGGTCGCCATTTTGTGAAATAGGCCTATCGTGCTGCTGACGAGGCCTCAAGACTCCATCCCCAGGTGGTCCAGCTGATCGGGGATCACTTTGGGGCCGCACAGTTAAATCTGTTTGCCTCTCTGGACTCGTCCCATTCCCAGTTGTTTTACTCCCTGAACGGATATTTCAGACACATTTTCATTCAATACTGTACTGCTTCATACATTATTTGTTTGAACTAGAATAAAGTTCAAAATAAACCTATCTCAATGAAGTGAAGTCAACGTTTTTTAATCAGTTTTATTTTGATAAACATGACACAATATACCATCATGACTACATGAAAAGATTACTGTTTACTGTTATAAAAAAACTGATTTGTGAGCTTTAGTGGAATTAAAGGTGTGAGAATAAACACGAAACACACGTGATCGTTGTCATGCGCTAAATCCAGCGAATCGTGGAACAGCTGTGTCGTCATCAGAGCTTGTGCAGCCGCTCTTGAGAAGCTACGCTGGCTGAGTCCTCCGGCTACTCTCGAATCACTCTTGCAGTACTTTGATAGCATACGTCACAGTCATGTGGCGTCGGTGCTAGATCAAGTCGGACAAAATTTCTAACCTTCATGCACTAATTCAAGTCACCGATCTGTCTGCGCAGAGCTGCATGAAGTCGAACAAGCCTAGCTGCGTTCGGATTAAAAAACCTTCATGTAAAGAACTTAATCGATCCCAATGAAATTTCGATCGGATTGAAAGGGGTGGTTTATCCCTTATGTAATCCGATCAAGAGAACGTAAACACTTGATCGGACTGAAAACCGAAACGCTCGGAATGAGTTGTTTTTCCTGTTGAATAAAGTGTCATATTAATACGTTTCCCGTCATTCTATATGATCATTCATTCGTATATGAAGTGAAGCAAGACATGTCCCACCAGTCCTTGTTTTGGATACTCATCCACAGTCATCAGGTTTTGGCCACGGTGAGGGGCATTTTTACTGTGTGATCAGCACGGCAAAATGGTTAATATGCTCTAAATTATAACCAGAGATGAATTAATATTACGTTTTCTGTTTAAAACAAATAAAGTACCAAAAGAGGAGAATTTATGATTGAACAGCAGGAAACTCTGTATATTCCTGCAGTTTGCGCATGTCAAAAAAATCTGATCCGATTTGAAACTTGTGACATATAAACGTGAACATCAACCCGATTTCTTTATTTATCATTCATGAAAACATCTTGTTCGAATTCATCAATCGTATTGATTTCATTCTGATTGTGTATGTAAACGTAACTACTGGCTCACAGCGGGTCTGGGAAAAAGTCTTAAAATTCTCTAAAATCTAAGCTTAATTGTCTCAACTGTAACATCAGAGCTCTATTGCATGTCTGCAAAACGTAGTAACTTGCCCAATTCCTGCTTAAAAACCTAGTTATTGTGTCAGTAAATTGGCCAATAGCATCAAAATAAAGTGTTTTTGTCATCGTGTGAGTCACACTGATCAAAATGCGTAGATGTTTTTTCACCATGGAAATATTTGTTTTACTTTTTATTTGACAGTAGCTGCTTTCTATACAAGAATGTATAGAATACCAACGCATTCTCACCCCAAGGCGTCACCTTTGACCATGCTTCAATATTTGACGTTTTAGGCGCCCTTTAGCGTCACTTACATGACGCGATCCTACGGCGTCATCTAACTGACGCTAAAGGAAAGCGTCTGTTAGAGGACGCGGTTAGGTTTAGGTGTGGGGTGGGGGTAGGGTACACGCGATCCTAGGGCGTCATCTTACTGACGCTAAAGGGCGCCTAAAGCGTCAGATATTGAAGCATGTCCAAATGCTTCCCAAGGCATCAGTTAAGTGACGCCTTGGGAGTGAGAATGGGCTGAGAATACACAATGAACATTGCAGAAATGTGTTACATGTATACTGAAAATTCTCATTTGCTTTTTCATTTTTACTTGCCCTGTTATGTCTTTCCCTAACACAATTTCCAGTTTACATGTAACATTTCTACAAAAAAAATGTACTGTAAAATTCAAATGTATACAGTTCTGACGTAGCTGCTGCTGTTCAGAGTTGTGATGACCCTCCTTGTTCAAAAATGGTGTTGATTGTGCTGTCAGCAAACTTACACATATACAAACTTACAAACGTACATATATACATATAGCATATATACAGTAGCAGATGTTACAAATATTCCGTTCACTGAGATTCACTGAGAATCAACTCATCAGTTCAGCCATTTGCATTTAGTTATTGTGCAAATTGTAGACAATTGTAATGTTTTGCACATGTAACACATGCAATTTGCTTAAATCAATAGGAAATTAAAATCTGATGTGAACAAGAAACAAATTGTTCTGAACTTAGATCTGAACGTATTGTTTTGAGAGAGAAAAAAGTCTCATTTAAGAATTGAGCCGAGGCGATTGAGAAAAACTGTAATTAAAATGTTGTCTATAATCCCTTCTCCATAAGAATAAGATGAAATATTTTTTTAAGATGAATATATTTTTAAGCTTTAAAAATGGTATTGGGGTCTCTTCGAACACAAACAGAACATGATTTATTCATAGGGCAACAGGGCAAAGAAGAATGACAAAAATAAATCATGAGGCAGAGAAGAATTCTCACTTAAGGACTGCTTACATTTTTTATTAAAAAACACACACTTTATATCAGTCAACTAAGACTTGTTTTTCATCTCCTTTAATAGTATTAAGTTCTCTGGAGAGATGCCTCAGCAGGTCACGCACTGGACACAATCACAGGGTAGAGTGAATGAATTGAGAATTGAGCACTTCTTTTTTTAAGAATGACGACAGTGTGATTCAGAGAGAGAGATTACTTTTCTTATCTCTAATGGCAAAGCCATGCTAGATTAGACCGTAAGGGAATACATTTTATTAAAAAAAGATGGCTGGAAAGTTTTATGGAGTAAATTGTGTTTTTTTTATTTTATTGAATTAAATTTTGCAAAGATGCAGTATTTCATCTTTATGAAATCTAATGCTGATGTCACCACACCAAACTAGAATTTGAAATGTAGATTTTTGTATGATGTTTTATTTGAGTGTTCAAATTGCTAGTTAACCTGATCAGATTTTTATTGCAGCAATGCATTAGACTTTAGCAATGGATGTTTCACCATTGATTATGTTTTTAAAAGATTAATTGATTTTCAAAGAAATTAATTGGAATTCAATTAGTAATTTATTGTTTTTATTTAGAAAAGCAGCTTTTTCCCCAAGATAAACTTTAAATGTTGGCTTGACAAAGCCTTTTTTTTTTTAAGTGTTGAAAAAAAGTTTTAAATGCCTTTAAGTTTGAAGCATTATAGATTGAATGAAAGAACGATAGATAGGCCATATTATGTATCTGTTTATTTGAGAGTTGAATATATAGTCGTGCTCAAAAGTTTAATGTTAATTAATCATTTTAAGGGATCATACTGTACATGCATGTTATTTTTTTATTTAGAACTTGAATAAGACATTTTACATAAAAGATGTTTAAATAAAGTCCACAAGACAATAAAAAAATGTTTTTCAGGAAGACAAATTAAGTACAATTTACCTTGAACTTCAAATCCAAAATTTTTCACCCCCTGCTCTTAATGCATCATGTTTCCTTCTGGAGCATCAGTGAATGTTTGAACCTTTTTAAATAATTGTGTTGAGTCCCTCAATTATCATCAGTGTGAAAAGATGTATCTTAAAAGCATACAGTCACTGCTGGAAAGGGTTAAAATATGCAAACCATGCTGGAAAACTGAAGAACTTGCAGAATTTAGATTTTTTTTACCTGCTCAGGACAAACAAGGGACTCAAGAACAACCATCACAAAACAAAAAACAGCCGTGGATCATCTAGGTAATGCACACAGTATTAAGAATCCAGTATAGGTAAACTTTTGAACGAGGTAATTTGTATAAATGCAGGTTTTTCTTGTTCTTGTGGACTATATAAACATCTTTTGTGTAAAATATCTTATCCAGGACATTACTAAAATAATAATAATAATAATGTATGATCCCTCTTATTTTGTTAGTAGATTGTTATCAAATTTTAAAAAGATTGTTATTTTTATATTTTTATAGATTCTGCAATGTGAACATTTGAGCTCAACTGTAAGTGTTCTCAATTGAATAAATTCACTGGACACTGCATTTATTCCAGCTGCATTTACTGAGTTTAGCCAAGCTGAACAGTGCTGTCAAATTCACTTTAACCCATTTTGTAACTTGTCCTTGGAGCAGGGTGCCTTCTTCCCCAGGGGGAAGCGGTTGAATCTTGAAGTGACTAACTGTTCAGACTGGCCATATGTCCCTGTTGTTCTGATAAAAGCAGTTGACAGCATCCACCCTTATCACTTGCATGACTGCGGTGGCACTCCATCACGCAACGTAAAACCCAGGGTGACATGCGAAAGAATATACTGTAATTACATACAGCTGTTTCATGTGTGGCTTTAGGCAGTGTTTTCTTTGCTTTGTTGTTGACACTCAGTGTGATCATATTAATCTTTTAGAATTTGAGTCTTAAGAGCACCGTAGGACGAATAATAATTGGAATATCTAAATATTCTGTCCTGACACAAGGCATTGTTGATTTCACTGTTGTAGGGGAAAGACTCTAGGGCTGCAGATAAGACCGTTGCCATGGTCCTGAAGGAGATACCCAATAAGGCGTCCTCAGAAGGCAAACCCCTCCTCACGGTGACAAACAAGGTGGGCAGAACTACTGCAGCTACCGCAAGAGTAAAATGATGATAACCAATGGCAAGGCTTTGACCATCACATGTCTAACCTCTACCATTTAGCCTAAATAAAAACTGCCATCATAAATGTCTATGAACACAACAGCTAACAATGGCTTTTTTTTTTTTTTTCTCAGAGCAGCTCTGTGGGGTATAAAATTGAGCTTTTCACATCAGGCTAGGATTGTCACTGGCAATAGAATGGGGACAATAGAAATGATAATTTTAAATGGACACATGGGACACATCAATTTAAATCGTAGCTTTACAGTATGTTTAGTGATGGTCAAGGATTTTACACCACAACCACAATCACATATTTAAGCTATAAATATAGGGAAAGACTTCACACATGCTTCTAAATTGTAATGAACCTTAACAAGCTGTTCAATTTGATATGTTTCATGTTATTTTACATAGCCATGTACAATATATCAGTAATGTATCAGACTATATTTTAATTGTAAATCCTCTCCACCTATATATTACCATTGTAATCAACAAATTACCAATAATGTTCCAAATCCCAAAATGAACATCCATTTTTCATGTTGCACTTTATGTTATTATGTCTAAATTCACTTTACTTAATCATTTCAAATTATTTATTTACCTTTTCTGGCAAAATACATTTCCTTGCTCATTAGTGGTTGATTTGGGTCTAGTGTTGAAGCTTTATCTTAGCTCATCTTGTTGTTGCCTGTGTAGTTTGTGGCTCATTCTGTGTTTATTTTTTTTAGTTGGTATATGTGTAACTGTCATCTGTGTAGTACAAGTCTGTGTGTGTTGTATTGATGCTATACAGATTCTAAACTATTCAATAATAATTGCACTAAACTAAGCTTTTTTAGCACTTAACTGGCACGATTGGAATCACTAGTCGCTCTTGCTTCGCCAGTCACTAAATGACAGATTTTTCAAATATACATTTGCAAAGCATTTAGTGGTTCGTTTTGTAATCGGTCGAGAATCAATAGACCAGTGACCATTAAGTCACCTGCATGCGTGCACTCCTTTGCTTTGTCCATAATAGCGTGAAGGTTAGTTCATTTTCAAATCAGGAGAGATAGAACATGACATGTGAAGCACAGCATCGTTAGTCTGTGTAAAGTCTTGTCAATACTGAGACCAGAGTGTTTAGCTGTTTGACCTACTTGTATTTAACACAATGAATCAAGTCTTGTAAAACAACTAATGGTCCAGATGTTAGGGTTAGGGGTAGTTGATTTCATCTGCAAATTTATTTGGTTTGTAATTCGGTTACATCAGGGTATATTTATAGATTTTTTTTAAGATGTTCTGTTGAGAAATGATCACTTCTTATGGGCTACTCTGTATCCCTAACCAATTTAATACTGTGTATTAAACACCTGCTGTCACTTCAAGAAAATTGCAGAACTTACCGGCTAGACTCTTTATCTGAAGAGAACGATTTTATAAATAGCCAAACACTGTATATATATATATATATATATATATATATTTGACCAAATGAACAACCATGCTGGTTTTGCTTAAACATCTTTGGTTTAAATCTCATATTAATTATACAGTTAATTATACAGGCCTCACACAATTTATAGTTATATAGGTGTATAACAGGGTATGACTTTTACAGCCAAATCATTTCTTCATACATAATGCAGTTGTGTACATTCATGCTGTTATTTATAACACTAATAATTGCCTCACATGAGCTTTTACCTCCCTCAGCTAACCTCCCCAGCTCTTCCCCTTAAGACTCCCGCCAGCTAAACTGGTTCCAGGTTCCCTTGACAACAAAATCTTGGAGTCACCACCAGGAGCTAAGCCCACGTGGCACAATTAGTTGAAGTTTTCCATGACATGGAAGTTCAGGATATGCCCTGTGAATGCCTGTGTTTTGATAAAGCTTATAGCTGAGAAGAACTGGAGGTAAAAATACATTTTATATAGGGATGGGGGGGGGGGGGGGACCCTACAGATGTTACTTAACAACCACTAAACATATAGCTAATGTTAAAGACACAAATTAGGTGTTAAAAGCATGATCTGCAAATGTGATCATCATACATTACAGTTATAATTGTCATATATCATTGAAAGGTCAATGATGTATAGCATGTTTGTTTCAGATTGAGACCAAATAGCCTACCTATATAAATATACTATAAATAAGTATTTTTTCATGAAAAAACACAGCTGATGCATGTGTAAACAGTATACATAATGGCTTTTGCGCCATGTTTTTGTTTGTAACTTCGTGAGCTTAGAATTATAAGGTTCTATCTCCACTTTTGGTCGAAATTGAGTTTTTGACATAATCTGATCCATTAGGTGTTTATTAATTCCTGTGTGGTGTTATTTTTGTAAAAAAAGATTAATAGATAAAGCTATAATAGAAAATTTTACTACATTACAGTTTTGCCAGGTGGGATGTAAAAACTTTGATGCTCAATATCTCAGAACTACCCTAAACGGAGATAGAACCTTATAATTCTAAGCTCACGACTTTGTGAAAAATTAGTTAACCAAAGTAGATTCCATATCTTTATTTAGAGCAGGGTCTCGAACAAGCCCAAACATAACATATGCCAAAGCGTAGATCGCAGAGTGGCATGACATGCTGCTTGGCTAAAGCTATAGGATCCATTTCCGGGATCCAATCACACCGCAATCATGGGAGTGTTTTCCAACATCACTTGAAAGATCAACCAATGGAAACTGTAGCTGTGTCCGATATACCCCTAGAGCACTATTTGAGGGGATAGCCATTTGGTGACACTCAATCAAGCCCACAATGCACCACAATAACGAGTGTACAATTGATGCATGGTAAAGTAGTGATTTCCCCCCATGGTAGAAATCGTTTTCTCAGGGGTTAAAAAAATCACGTTTTACTGGGCACCGCGATACAACCGAAAAGAGCACTTTCGCTTTCATGATTAAAACACCTGAGTATCTTATTAGTGGTTGTTTATTCTATGTACATTTATTCTATGTGCTTCTCGTGTTCAGTAAAATCAGGTTTGAAGGGTTTTTTTTTTTGGGGGGGGGGGGCCCCTTGGTTAATTATGTTTTGAAATAAACGGCTAGCCTACCTAATCCATTGCATGGCTTGAAGACATTAATACATTTAGAAATGTAAATATGGCATGCCTGCTTCATTTCCCTAATTCATGGGGCTAAATGTAGTTTCTATAAAAGCTTTTGAGGATCATCGCAAGATGCGACAGACGCAATATGAATTTCAGAATTGAAAATGATGTACAGTATTACATTAATAATCAAATCCTAATTAAAGCCAAAATATGTGGCCTTGATGTTCAAGTCTTGGCTGAATTTTATATTGCAATATTCATTCTTTGAATCTGTAGGGAGCCTCACGCTTATATAACACACATCATTCTTTTACTTAGTGCTTTGTTGTATCTTCCGATCAAGGGACACTTGTAAATGCATGGATTCTTTCTAACAATCACAGTAAAAAAGGAACAGATTGCAGAGAAACATGGCACTTATTTTTAATGGAAATGAGGATTAAAATTTAAGCAGAACTTTTTAAATAGTTCTCAATATTGAATATTTTCAATATCTGAATCTACTTGTCTTTTACACCAGAAGGTGTCAACAAGGTACAGTCTTTATGAGCCATTAAATTATGCATGATTCAACCGATTTTAAAAACTGATTAATTCAAGAATGAAATACCAATATTGTGTCTATATTGTAGCTTTCCTTTAATAGCTTTCTCTGCTGCTTCTCTGTGTTTCTTCTGCACATATGCAGAAGTTTTGTTTGAAATTAATAAAGTATTGCAACGTTTCAGAATCTGCAATCTTGTTGATCAAAATCTGCATATAAACATACTTAAAGGTGCATTTAGTAATCCTTTAGCTAACTAATTTAGCGTCACGGTTCACGCTGCACCGTCATCTATCGACGTGAATCGGCATGATCAATGTACTTGTGGGTTTACAAAAAAAAATATCTTACTACCTGTCCAACAAAAAGAAGCTACTTGGACATCAGTGATCACTACTCCTGATTGTCTTCATCGACAAATCTTTCCACTTTCCACCGTACAGTCTAGCTTCTGTTACAGCACAACAAGGTCATTGAATCAATCAATCGGTACCTACAGGTAACGTTACGCATTCTCCCGTTGTCTCTTCTGGTAAAGCACGATAATAAGTTTTTCCTATTTTCGCTCTTCGAAGCAAAATGTCCAATTACCAAATTATTATTACCTGGGCTGCGTTCAGCCCCGACAAAACGTTGCACAACGTTTTTTTAAACAGAAACAGTGAAGTGTTAAACACTTTGCGTTGTTCTGATCGACGCAAGAGTTGCAACTATGGCAGCTGAGAAGGCAAATTTTGCCAAATTTTGCCCCAATGTTGACAGCATTGCTTTCGTTTGAGGGCGCGAGTGCCGAAGTTATGATGTCACTTTGTTGACCAAAACGCGGAAGTGAGTTAGCATTTTAGCACTTCCGGTTCCCTCGCCCTAAAGTCAATCCCTGCGTCCCAATTCACTTACTTATACTACGCCCTAAAAGTATGTACTCTTTTTGTGAAGAAAAAGTACATACTTTTGAGTGTGTAGCAAAAGAGTAGGCAAGCTTTGGGACATACTATCACGTCATCTTTAACGGACAGCTCTGTCGCGTGCATCCTGTCACCGTAAACTGCCCTGTCAATCATCTCGTCAGTTAAAATCCTCCATTCAATCTAGTTTGATTTTCTATCGTTTCGGAGCACGTTGATCTGCCAGTCGTGGGTCTTTCATGCGGATACTCTCCTCGTGTTTGCAATTTGAATATAATGATGGATTTTAAAGGTAATGGCCTTGATGGCTAAAAACAAATGTTCACAATGCTGCTGCAGATGCAATATAATGTGGACAACAAACATTGATGACGCAGATTGAATAACATCTATACACTCAAGCATTCCCTTAGAAACGGGCCTGGCAGCTCGCGCCAGGTCT